GCCCGCAACTCCGGTCATCGCCGTCAGCTACTGCCCGCAACTCCGGTCATCGCCGTCAGCTACTGCTCGCAACTCCGGTCATCGCAGGCAGCTCCTACCCACGGTTCCGTCTATCGCCGGCAGCTACTGCCCGCAACTCCGGTCATCGCCGGCAGCGCCTACCAACGGCGCCGTCCTTCGCCGGCACCCACTGCCCACGACTCCGGTCATCGCCGGCACCTACTGCCCGCAACTCCGGTCATCGCCGTCAGCTACTGCCCGCAACTCCGGTCATCGCCGGCAGCTCCTACCCACGGCTCCGTCCATCGCCGGCACCCACTGCCCACGACTCCGGTCATCGCCGGCACCTACTGCCCGCAATTCCGGTCATCGCCGTCAGCTACTGCCCGCAACTCCGGTCATCGCCGGCAGCTCCTACCCACGGCTCCGTCCATCGCCGGCAGCCACTGTCCGCGACTCTGGTCTCTGCCGGCAATTACTGCCCGCGACTCCGTCCATCGCCAGCAGCTGCTGCTCGCGACTCCGGTCAGCGTCGGCAGCTCCTACCCACGGCTGCGTCCATCGCCGGCAGCCACTGCCCGCGACTCCGGTCTCTGCCGGCAGTTACTGTCCGCGATTCCGGTCATCGCCGGCAGCTACTACCCGAGGCTCGTCTACCGCCGGAGTATCCGCGCGAAGCTCCGGTAGCTGCGAGTTGAACGTCTCCCGTTCTGGTTACTGCGTGTATCTGCAGCTCGAGTAGTAGAGCGCACCTCCGCCTGCAACTTCGGGCTCTGTGCGCTTTTACACCTGCAGCTTCTCCCGGTCGTTTCGCGCTCCTCCGCCTGCAGCTTCGGGTGGCACGTCTACTCGTTACGGATGCTGCCCATCTCTACCTGCAACTTCGATAACGCGTGCCTCTTCATCTGCGGCTGAGGTAAATGCGCGCCTTCGCGCGCAACTCCGGTGGCTACTGGCTTGCACGTCTCTCCGTTCTGGATGCTGCGTATCTCTGCCTGCAACTCCGATAACGTGCGCGCCTCTCCCTCTGCGGCTGCAATTACTACGCGCGCCTCCGCGCGCTGCACTGGTCGCACCGTGAGGCAAGACTATCATCCGGTTGCTGCGTGTCTGCAGCTCTATTCGTAGAGCGCGCCTCCGCCTGCAACACCAGTCTCTGCGCGCTTCTTCAGCTCCGGTTGCTGCGCATCTCTGCCTGCTACTCTAATTATGCGTGCCTTATCATCTGCGGCTGCGGTCACTGCGCGCGCAACTCCGGTAGCTTCGGTAGGCACATCTCCTACCCTATTGCAGTTCTAGTCGTAGAGAGTGCCTCCACCTACAGCTCCGGTCGTCGCGCACTCCTCCACCTGCAGTTCAGATCGTTGCGGGTGGCACTTCCACTTGTTCCGGTTGCTGCGCATGTCTGCCTGCTACTCCGATAACGTGCACCTCTCAAATTTGCGGCTGCGGTAACCGTACTGCGCTCGCCTACGAGCGGAACTCCGATCGCTTCGGGAAACACGTCTAACACCGTGTTGCTGCGCGCCTCCACCTGCAGTTCCGGGCACTGCGCGCATGTCCACCTGCAACTCTGATTGCTGCGGGTGCCCCATCTATCCGTTATGTACGCTGGTCATCCCCCAACTCCGGTCACTGCGCCCTTCTCCACTAGCAGCACCGCCCACTGCGCGCCTTTCCATCTACGGCTCCGGACACTGCGCGCATCTCCACCTGCAGCTCCGGTTACTTCGCGCATCTCCAACTGCAGACCCGGTAGCTGCGGATTTAGCATCGCTTCGCTTCCTGTGGAGGTAACTATTCATCTACTTAGTGTGCTACAGAGGAGCATCGGTTTCCGGTTGTTGACTGCGTCTCAACCTTCGGCTTCCGGTTACGTGGGATTTTTGCGTCCTCCGGCACCGCGACCTGCGTTGGACTCAACAGAATTCCCGTGAGCATACATTTGGTAACCATTTGCTGTGTTTTTGCATTGAGGTTTCAGTTGCCGAACTACAGCTATCCCGACAAATCATATAAGAACTTGGTCAGCTTACGGGGCTCTAGCACATGTGACCCTGGATTCTTCGTTGTCACAATCTTACTTTTAGGTCTGATCAGATTACCCTACAAGGTGGCGTTCCTTGGAATTGATTGACCGATTACAAATATTTTAACACGAGGTTAAGGATTTGACTTTTGGTGATGTAGATACAAAAATGAGGTATGATTGCTGACAATTTTCATGATCGAATTGATTTTTTGACAGACCTGAAATTTACCTGAATATTTATTTTTCGTGACTAACTAATGCTCTTATCATTTTTTCTTACATTGTTATAATATTCATTAATCAATAGCGGAATGATATAAAATTCGTTTATAACTGATTAGTGTTATTTTGCTTTATTCTGTAAGATTTTAAATTTTACTAGGTAGGCATTTAAATAGTTTGTTCACAGATGTAACAAATGGTAATGGTGAGACAATAAATAATACATTTATGGTATATTATTTTATCCTTTTATAATATATTGTGTATTGAAGAAGAACTTAAATTGTTTAATCTCCGTTTCTTTCAGGAAAATAAATAATTTTATTATATTACATATCCCAAAAATAGGTTGTGCTAACATTGTCCACAGATGTAGACTTTAATTACCTGGACATGGTACTAATACAATCTTCCTAATAAAATCGAAGTACTAACTAGAAACTAAGAAAAAGGCTCCAATACAAATAATAAAATGAGAACAAACGAGAACGAGTCGGCAAAGAACAGTTTAGGAAGATTTCTTTTAAAAACAGTATATGATACAAGAAATGTGTACGATTGAAACACAAATAAATACATAACGAAGACAGTTCTCAAGCACACATTACGTGACATTCGGCTGGGGTAAACCGCATGTACCGACATAAACATCTCTTTAGTAAATTTCAGTCTTTTAAACATATAAACGAAGTAAAAAAAATAAATGCGTACAAACTAAATAAAGGAAAATACTACAGAAGATCAACGATACAAAAAAGAGGTTTAACGATAAAATCGAAGAATAATGAAATCAAAGCGAAAAAAATAATTGAAATTAAAATTCTGTGAAAATTTGAGTTAATACGAAGCCTGAAATGTGAACACTAAAAATATCTAACTATAAAAAGATGGAAAAATATGCCAGATGATGGAGATTTAATTAAAAGCCTGAAAAATCAGCACTCAAGCCCGAATGCTGAAGACGAAGCCCTCTAATGCTGTAGAAGAAGCTCGAATACTGAAGACGAAGCCCGAATACTTAAGATGAAGATTGAAGGCAGAAGTTCGAATATCGGTCCTGAATCCCGAAGAGTGAAGACGACGCCCGAAGAGAGAAGACGACGGCCGAAGAGAGAAGACTACGCCCGAAGAGAGAAGACTACGCCCGAAGAGAGAAGACTACGCACGAAGAGAGAAGACGACGCCCAAATACTTAAGATGAAGACTGAAGGTGGAAGTTCGAATATCGGTCTTGAAGACCGACGCCCGAAGAGTGAATACGACGCCCAAAAACTTAAGATGAAGGCTGAAGAGAGAAGACGACGCCCGAAGAGAGAAGACTGCGCCCGAAGAGAGAAGACGACGCATGAAGTGTGAGGACGAAGCCCGAAGTGTGAAGACAACGCCCAAAACTTAGGATGAAGACTGAAGGCGGAAGTTCGAATATCGGTCCTGGATCCTGAAGATTGAAGAGAAAGCCCGAAGAGTGAATATGACGCCCAAAAACTTAAGATGAAGGCTGAAGAGTGAAGACGACGACCGAATAGAGAAGACGACGACCGAATAGAGAAGACGACGCCCGAAGTGAGAAAACGACGCCCGAAGATTGAAGACGACACCCGAAGTGTGAAGACGACGCATGAAGTGTGAAGAGACGACGCATAAAGTGTGAAGACGACTCATGAAGTGTGAAGACGACGCCCGAAGTGTGAAGACGACGCATGAAGTGTGAAGACGACGCATGAAGTGTGAAGACGACGCATGAAGTGTGAAGACGACGCATGAAGTGTGAAGACGACGCATGAAGTGTGAAGACGAAGCCCGAAGTGTGAAGACAACGCCCAAATAATTAAGATGAAGACTGAAGGCGGAAGTTCGAATATCAGACCTGAATCCCGAAGATTGAAGACGAAGCCCGAAGAGTGAATACGACGCCCAAAAACTTAAGATGAAGGCTGAAGAGTGAAGACGACGTCCGAAGAGAGAAGACGACGCCCGAAGAGTGAAGACGACGCCCGAAGAGTGAAGACGACGCCCGAAGAGTGAAGACGACGCCCGAAGAGTGAAGAC